GCAAAGAAACTACCCACCTTTCTTTCTGTGGGAAACACTAGAACTCTGACTCAAAGACCAGAATCATTATAAAATAATTATCAACAAGCCTGATCCAGGCTCTGTAATGCCAGAGGGAATAAGTAATGCAGAGCAACATATGACAACAAAAATGTCACACGCCATATGGCTCTTACACATTTCACACCTAAACCCTTGCATGTTGTTTGGAGGAAGAATCGAATGCAGGAATCTGCACGGCAGAATGCCTCTCAAGTTTTGTGAATGTCAAAATTACAGCTGTATCGATGAAGAATAACCACTAAACTATTTAGATGAGAAAAACATCAAATGCGTTTGGTTCATAGTGTCTGATGTGAGAGGAAATCAAAATACCCTGTTATTATTTGGCTTTACTTTATTCACCATTTAGAATTACCCAATTTATATGGTTTCAAGTTGTAAGTTATGACAGGTTTCAGTGTTAGCGGGCAACAATATTTAGCGAGTGAATATATACACAAGTTTGAGAGAGTAAACTTGTTTATTATATGAAAAATAATGTTCACACACAATTCTTCCTGTGCTTTATGCTTCAAACATTACTTCCCACTTTGACCATAAACACTGATATAAAATGGAGTTAAATCCATCAAAAATGAATACACTGCCTGGAATATAAATGTATAATATAACTAAAACTATATAAATATACAAATAAATGGATGACATTAATTAAATCAGAGAGGGTGAGGCTTTTAAACATATCTTAGACAAATAAGATAAGTTAAACACCCATCTCCTTCATGTCAAATAATTAAAATCATGTTTCATGTGTCACACAAGTCTTAAACAAAATCTCATACTATCGGGTCACACACAACACGTTTAGTCTTCTTTTTTGTATACATTACAATTCATTTTGTGCCAGTGAAACTGAAGTGTTTATTAATGAACTGCTCCCTCATTATCATCCACAGTGTCTCAACAGCCAGTTAGTGCTCTTCTTCTAAGTTCCCACATTGATGTCATGGCAGCCGTTATGTTTGTGCAGGACAATGCGTCCACAACTGCCATTCACATCGTCTTTGTAGAAGCAAGACTTTTCCACTCTGAATTTCTGAGAAGTGTATGTGAGCGTGTGAAAATCTGAAGATGTGTGTCCATTGAGGGATTGCGTGAGTGACAGAGAGGTTCATCCCTTGTGCCTGTCTTTCTAAGAGCTGCTGTGGGCAGGGCCATCTATGCTGACAGTGGAAGGAAGGTAGCAGGGCCCGGCGGATTAAGGAGCTTTTAGCCCAGACTGAGAGTGGCTCTTTCTCTGTGTGACAGAGAGAGGTGACAGGCCGTCAGTGCACAGGGGGACAGGCGGACAACCAGCCAGAGACATCTGCATTCATTCAGGACAGCAGCTTATCCGTGCACAAAAAACACGCCCACTTGAAACGCCCTCCATCAGCAGTCTCACACTCTGTGGTACACACACAAACACACACACACACACACAAGAGGATACATTCACACACACGCATCCCACAAAACCTTGATTCCACGAAGGGACCGTTTCAAATGCACAGACTAACGGTGTAAATAGCGAAACAGTGACTTCCTGTAGACAAGCAGAAAAATGTGAAGGTGCTCTGTAAATATCATCAAAATGTCATCTGGATTGGAACAGTGTGTTGGTATATTTAACATTGAGTATCTTTGATCTAAGACTCAGGTTAAAAATGTGATCCAGTTAATAATTAAACACTTTAGCTGACTATATATATATATATATATATATATTTTTTTAGGATGGGGCTCCTTATGGTCAGGCATCTGCCTCTCTCCCTTCTTCCATCCTCTCATGGCTAGGAGGTCGAGGAGACAGCCAGAGCAAGGGAAGGCCCTACCCGGCCATCTAATCCTCTACTTCCATTCACCATCCCTGCTAATCTCTTTCACCACCTCCCCAGCAACGCTACCACCAACACTATCGCCTCCACCTTCACCTCCGCTTCTCACTCAAGAGGTGCACAAAGACCCTAAGCACCCCTGTCCCGTCCCACTTACCATCCCACCCCTTCTCACAGCCCTAACCTGCTCCGCCCATCGCTCCTACAGCAGGAGGCACCCGGTTTTCTAAGGCCAGGATCCATAATCCCGTGGGGCTGCAAGTTTGGGTTAGGCCAATGGCTCATTGAGAGGCGGATAACTCTCTCCTGGACTCAGACCCTGTGTCTCATTGTTAGTGCTGCTGAGAAGAGGATAGACACAAATGGAGTTTGAATTTCAATGTGCTTAACGACTCACAGAAAGAGGGAGAGACGGCAGAATATGGACTAGTGGGCATCCAGGCATTAAGATTACTTTAAAGCGAGCCATAGAGGAAAAAGAGGCAGATTCTATGACAAATGAGGACCACCTCATCCTGATCCAGACACAGAAAACACAGGATGCATTATTTTGTGACTTTTTGTCGTCTTTTTATTTTGAAAATGAATATGTTTTTAAAAAACAAGCTTAAAGCCAAAACCAAGTTAAGAAATAAGCCATTGGCTTTGTTCTGGGGGATGCCAGAGATAATTCTTTAAAACTTAAAGCTACTGTTGTTGCAGGTGTCTCACATCAGTGGTTATCTTTTTGTGAAGAATCAAGTTAAGCTAACTTTATTTTAGTAAAGATGTTCCCTAAAACTTGAAATATCTAACAAACGTGATTTAATTCATGAGCACAATGAATCTTAAGCTAAACATAATTATGTTTCAATAAGAAGCTTACTCGAGGGTGGAACAAAAACACTAAACTGAGCTCAAGAACACACATATGCATGCTAACCCCGACACTGGCACACTCAGCACTTTATTTCTATACATAACAGTGTTGGTGAGCCTGACGGACCCCTTACAGCTGTCTCTCCACCTCTTATTTACTGAAGCTATCTTTCCCATAAGTCACCATTCCTGTATTCATAAAGCATCATGGATGCCATAACTCACTCGTCCCCTTTATGAATAAAGCTTCCAAATTTATGGTGATGGTGCTGAGGAGTTGTGGCCTCCCCGGTGACAACCCCCCCACCCCTCAGGTCTGTCACCACTGGCTTTGGCCACTCAGGGCCCTACATCAAAAGCTCCAGATGGGAGCGCCACTTTATCGCTCCCCGGCTGGTGACATCACCTTGCTGCGCCACGCAGAATTGATGATGAAAGCAAACATATCTGTCTTAACTTACATTTACCAAATCAATTTTATTTTTTACAGACCCTCCGCATCGTTATTGGCATATTGACGCTTTGCAGACAGGAGGAGGAGGAGGCTGAGGGATTATGAAAGGGTGGGCATGGGCGAGAGGGAGAGGGGGTGGAGGTTCAGCGGGGCTTAATGGCGTTTACCATATTTAATGCAGAGGGATGTCATCACTGAATATCCATTCTGAATAATGTGGCATTTCATCATAAATTCTTTACAACTTATTTACTTAATGGAAAGAGTTATGACTCGCTGTCAGGGTGGTAATTAAACATTGTGATACAGTGCTGCCTCACCAAGATCCCATCTTTCCCCTCAACCCCCGCCATCCACCTGCCCTCATTCACACACACACACACGAACGCAGTGTACTTCAGTCTTTTAAATACATATTATTATTTTCCCTATACTATTATACTCCCTATAAATTACAACAAGATTAAAATTCATGAAACCTCTTTTTCCTTTGTTTTCTTCCCAGAGAAAAAAAACAGAAGAATGACCCAGAGAGCTTGTTCAACCAAGATTAATTCTTGTTAGGAGTAGGGACTTCTTTCTTAATAGATACAGTGCTAAGAAAATGAGCAAAGATATAGCATTTCTCAATTAGTTTAACATTTTTCACTTCACTTTGCACTTGATAAAGATGTAGAAGTGAACAATATAGCCCCAAGAACGAAAGAAGGACAACTCTTATTTTGATTTCCTTTTAGTCAAAACTACTATGTGAACTGATGTCACCTAATGTGCAGCCACTCCAGATGTAAACTCTTTATAAGTGTTGAGTGTTGCTACTGCACCAACATGTTCTGTCCTATCTCTGAACTGAAGCAAAGAGACAGAAAAATCAGTGTGGATGCTGGATCTGCAAGAAAGGGAGCACTGTATTGAATTGTCTTATTTTAAACCTGTGAGTTGAGTATTTATGGACTGCATGGTCAGCTTTCTTAATGAGCTTGGCTCTGCCCCACAAAGGGACAAATCCTTGAATATGAAAACCTGAACCCTCATGCTCAAATTAGAGAGGATCTTTTCAAGAAGACTAAATGAGGCTAATAGTGGGCCAGCCCCTTCATTCTGCTCCATAAAACCAAGCTAGCTTGACACTGACAGAGACCACATCTAACCTTTGGCCTTGTTCTGTGACCCTACCTTCGATTTTTTGTGCCTGCTGACCAATATGTGATTTGCCAATGGCCGCAATGGGTCCCTAACTGGAATGAAGAAGGGATTTATGGCTTTTCATTTTAATTGAGCAAAGAGCACAGCCTCGACTCACTTTGTTTCACTGAGCTAACATTACATCACTAGGCAAAAAAATGAGAAAAACCATCTTGCGGTCACTGCGCTACATTTGAACATGACGACATGGGAGGAAATAAAAATAGAGAACTTATGTGAATGTGGCAGTATACATTGGGCAAAGTGAATTCCCCCTTGTCAGAAATGTGTTACTACCACTACACACATATCTTGTAGCAGCTATATTTATGTTTATATGCATTGAAATTTAAGATGCAAAATAAAGGTTTCTCTCCTTTTATTCCACATTTTTAAAGTCTCCGTTGACTCTTTGTATTTAACAGCTCGCATGAAGAAATATTCATGATCCTGCCAAAAAATCTGTTTACTCATGCATATGCACTATGAGGTAAAGTTTGACTGCCTTAAAATGTTATTTTTCATAACCCCCTAGTCCCACACTTCAATTTAATTCCAAATAGAACAATCAAATTAGGGTTAAAAATGGTTGGAAAAAAAGCCCACCGTCACCCTCGTCTTACCTCCCAGCCTTGACTGTGGTCTTTGAGACAAGGCCTGTGTTCTCCTTCATATGGTCCGAAGCATTCCCCCACCTTCACCCTCCTGCGGCTCCAGATGCCCAGACTTCCACCCAGAATTGCTGACTCTCGCAATTCAAAGTCTGGTGGAATGGTCAGTTCTTCTTGGGGCAAAAAGATGCTCGGAAGCTGGTATGGCAGGTGCCGGGGTGAGGATTCATCAGAGAGTGGAGGGGACGCTGGGTCCTCTGCCAATGCCAACGATTGTGTAGGATCGCCATCAGAGCCGTACACGTCTTCTACGATGTCGGCTGGAAAAAGCATGAAGTCATCATTGCCATCACCTGTGAAAGGAAAACAGTTTGTTTTTTAAGATAATGCTCTTGGATATTTTGTACTGGTTGATTATGCCAGCTGCAGGTTCTCTTAACAAAGCCTTCAGTTTTTATCTTTAACTATGAACACGTAATAAGTCGTAAACGACAACTTGCACGCATGAAATATATTGTCATACGTAAATGTGTGTACAATCCAGATATATATTTGGGCATTAAAAAGCTTTTGGACAGCACAGTCAAAGCAGAGTATGTTTGTCATGTGGTTGATCCCACAGCGGGAAAACAAGACCGCTCAGCATTGTACAGCACTGACTGTTTTATATTTCCTTTTCCTGAGCTCTTTCTCTGCTGTACACTGAAAACAGAGGGAAGCACATGAGGGTTAATTGTGAATAGAGTAAAACAGGACAAAGAGGTACGACCCTTGAACCCACACTGGGCTTCTTTATAGTACTGCACGTGCCTGCTGGAGCTCAATGGTGGAGGAGTGATTGAATTAATCACAGTGTTGACACAGTCTGCTTTGGAGCAGAGCTGCACTGCAGAGAGGTCTTAGTAAAAACTGGTTGTTTCTTGTTAAAAGTAAGTAAAAAATAAAGAGTGAATTCACTTGTATGTAAGGGCAGCGTGATCTTGAATCAATCTGTAAAGATTGACTGATTTTTTTTCTGATGAATCAACAAAGCAAAGTCAGGAAGAATAGAGTGAGCAAGAGGGACTGCAAACCAGGTGGCACAGAGTGAGATGGACAGACACTAAAACTGGAAATTGTTCAACAGAAAGCTGCTGCTTTCGGGTGGGTTGTGTCTAACATGGGTTGACAGGCCTCGGGGAGAAGGGGCTCCGCTAATGAGGCTCAACAACCCATCTCGCCACTGATGAACATTCCTGAGGGGCTTCCTGTGTGACACTGTACCTCTGTGCTGTCAGCCGTGGAACTCTTCATCTAAACAGATAAACACACGTCCACTTGCTCAGTGAGAAGCATTCAGTTGGTGAGGAGAGATGCTCGACACAGTCTGACACAGTCTGCTGTGTCCCTGTGTCCCTGTATTACCGGTATCTTATCAAGCAGAACAGCACACGAACACACACCTAAAAGGTATTTCCCACCTGCTGGTAAGAACATACGAGCTCAGCATTCACCAGAGAAAAGAGCTCACCACCACACAGGGGGCTTTACCGTATGTACAAAAACCAGAAGGCTTGTTTAGATATTTTTTAAAAAGGAACAAAGGTTGAGAAAACACCACTGTGTGTTTTCTCATTTTTGGCAATGTCGTACAAAGTTGGTCTCTCTTGAATCAAACATGTGATCCACAGTAATCATTTGACCATCAAAGTCGGGATTCAGAACAATTTGAAACAGCTTCTACAGAACAAATGCAAATTCTACATGTCGAATCAGCCGAAAAACAAACGATAGCAGCACTGTGCACACATGCACAACAACCGGCCTTCGGTTTGGAGTAGCCGACTACTTCAGGTTAATTTCAAACCGCACAGTGAGAAAAAATGCAATGTATCAATAGTATAGAAGCTGTCTTTTAAGATTCATGCATTCTGTCAAAATGTGTTCTCCGTTGGGAATTCAATCTATGCACGTTGAGCTGAATCGGATGTGAGTTACATATGGAACCCAGTGTTTTCTGTGGAACGTGGAAAGTGTGCATTTGTGGAAACTTCGGTATATCCTCAGCGTAAGAATTTCTTTAAGTCATTGCCCACACGGATACCTGATCACAGTGTATCTGCAACTATTGTGTTTGACATACGCTATGTGTGGGCGCAGCATGTTTAAGGGGAGAGTCTTTAAAAGACTCAACTGAGCTGCGCCGGGCATGAAACTCAATGTAGCCCTGGGAGTCGGTCTAATGATTTTCAGCACACAGACTCTGTAACGTGGTTACAGACCTAGATGTGAAGTTTGCCATATGGTAGAGGGACAAGGGCTTTTAAAGGTAACTGTATCCCTCCGTTGCCGTTTCTCCTCTGACATTTCCCCTCTCATGCTGGTCTCCAAGTTTATATTTGAGTTAGGCCAGATATTTTTCTCGGTCCACTGGATTCAATGAGAGCATTTCAGCTCATAAACATATATATTTCTGAAAGGTAAACATTAACCAAAAACAAATATACAGAGCTCAAAGTTTTAAGATTGTGGTTTCATGTATATAGATGATTGATAAGTCGAAGACCCTGATTTTGCTTGGACATCAGGGACAGAGTATTTGATTAGACTGCTCTGTGTGCATCTGTGTGCGTGCATTTCTGTGCCTCAACCTTTGTGAAGCAAAGGCAGAGAGGCAGAAGTGCTGTTTATTTGTTCAGTGGTGGACATTACTTCATCAGTGTAAGCTGACGCCCCTCATCAAAGAAGGAATTTTGCGCACAGAAGGGGAACTCCAGCTGGGAGCAGCATCACAATGTCAGCGGCGCTAAAAGCAGAGATGGTATCTCATGACAGCATTTGAAAGCAAGTGCAGAAAAGAACAAAAAAAACGGGAAAAAAAGTTTTAAAAAAATCTAACCATAAGACAGAAAAAAGGTTGAGAGGAAAACAAAGCAAAAACATTGGATCTCTCCATCAAAATCAGCTATTACCACATGACGATGAATCGTGACACTGACATAAACACAGATATACATTCACTTGCTTATACATCATGTATCTAAATGCTTGTGCTTGACGCCAAATTCATTAATTTTTATTAAGAGGGAAAACATTTGTTCTCGGGCCTGCTATCTGCATGGGTGGAATGATTTTCACCTCTGCCACAAGGTGTTGGGCGGACTCATACATCACATGATTACCCCGAGCAGCGAGCTGGGCCGCCATCATCAGGGAGTGAATTAAAGATGATAGAAAGAGCTATTAATCACTGTGACAAAGCCCCTAATGGAGGTGTGACCCAGCCACTGCTGACGGGACGCCAAGGGGACGCACCCATGGGACAAATGGATACATATGTTTACAGAGAGAATAACCTACCTGTGGACACACTCAGCCTTGACTCCATCATTTTTTTTTTCTGTTCTGCTGTCTTTTTTTGCTCATTACTGGCTTTCCAATAATGTTTGTCTCCTGCACTATTGATTCATTTAATCATATGTCTTATTTATGACTTGCCTTTAATTTGACTAAATGAATACTCTTCAAGGTTTGATGAAGTATTAAGTGTTGCAGAAAGTGTCTTGCAAATTAAAGAAAAATGTTTTTATGTGTAAGTGGTGCACTGAAGGAGAGACACTTAAAAATATTATGGAATAATTGAAATACCATTGTATACCATTTTTTATACAACTGATTCAGTAAACCCGGCTACAAACCCAGTCTTTTCCTCAATTTTCCACTGATAGTGCTAAACATACCAGGGTGTGAAATGGGAACCTTTCTAACACCTCATTTAACCAGATAGAGCCGTTTAATACTTGGCTTATGGGGTCAGATCATGAAACGTGGAAATGGGCTCCTCACCTTATGAGGACAAGTCCTTATTATCTGGGGACATCATTTGTTGCCTATGATAACAGACAAATATGACAGAGGGCTCACCCTTGTGCAGCAGGTCAAAGATAATCACACTTAAATCCCACCAATTGTCATTATCCAATTCTGAACCAAATTTTTCTGTTTCCCTTTACTTTTCATAAGCTGGAAAGATCATGCAGAGGTGCTGCTGCTTTTCCACTCTTGGAGCAGACTGGGCAGGAGATATCCAGTGACATTACAAGAGCTGGGGACATGTGTGAGCACACCATTGTTGCTGTTATCATGTCCTCAGGCTTATCCCTAAAACATAAAACACCCTGAGAGACTGAATACCAAACAAAATGATTACATTTCATTTGGTTAATGTGAAATGCTCTCTCAGCCACTGCCTATTAGAAAACGACTGCTGTTGATTTGGTAAGTGCTGTTAATTACAGTCCATCACTGTTCGCCTAAATTCCCCCAGCAGGGTGTATAGGAGCCTCAAGGCCTCAAGAGAGGGAATAAGCTTCCTAATTAACTCTGTCTTTGTGCTTAATGGGGGCCTTAACACTGCTTTTGGGAAGTCTTTTAATGCAAGGGTCTGTTGGGATGACTGTGGAAGTGAATGATACAAACTGCAAACATTCAAATCTACATGCGGCTATGAACAAACAATTTAGGCAATTCACCACAGTTCGTGAAATGAGTTGTTTTGTCAATAGAGAAAGACCGAACAAGTGAATTTTCAAGTTCTTTTTTTTTTGCAGATAGAAACAGTCAAAATACTTTCAATAAACCTTCAAAAAGCACCAAAACATGTATGTAAATATAAAATCAAGCCAAATTCTGTTTTTATTTGTTGTAAAACCCCAGATAATCTCACACTTGGTCGGATAAGAGCAGGTAATAAAACAGATGTTCTATGTGTACATTCATATAGATATCCTCATAAAATCAGAAACCATATTGGGCAAAGCAACACACAAAGGAACACACGGACGTGTTAAAGAGCAAAGCTCTTAACACAGTTTTAATTAATGAGAGCATTGTCTGTTTTTTTTCACCCTCCTGTTAGTCAACTGCTCCCCTTTCTAAATGGAAAACACTCCATTAAGGTCCCTGCACAGTGTAACCAATTAACATCATGCAACAAACTTAAACTTCGAGCTGGTCTCTCTGTGCACACTCACACTCAGACACCTAATTAATTAGCATTAGTTGTGATTAATAATGAGCGTTCTTTAATGGTAAATCTGCAGCTCCGATGGCAGGCTGACACAACAAAGGAGCCAGTGTGCGAGTCAGGATTTATCAGGGGAGCTGCTCGGGGATTTTAACATGTTTCTCACAGGCCTGACAAATGGCCTATTAATTATCTAATGTTGTCTGACAACAACCGCTTGATAAAGATGTATGTTTAGACCGGGTGAGGAGGGGACGCACAAAAGAGGCAAAGAGGAGTAATGGAAAAAAAGAGAGTGAATATTTGTTTGCATAAAAGGAGAAAAATA